ATTGCGTTTATTTTGATACACCCTGTATACATATATATATATATATATATATATATATATATATATATATATATATATATATATATATATATATATATATATATATATATATATATATATATATATATATATATATATATATATATATATATATATATATATAAATATATATATATATATATATATATATTGGACTGAGTGCTCGGGCATGGATGGTCAATTAATGATAAAAAAATTTAAGGTGGCTCAATACACTTTTTGGCCAAAGGAGCAAAAGTTGAATATTTTCTGTTTAAATGCTTTTACAGGGTTAAGTTTTACTTATAATTGTAACACATATTAAGACGTGTCGCAAACAAGAAGAATTCTGATAAAAGTCGCGTTTTCATGACAACTATAACGAATAATGGTAACAATAAATAGCCGAAAATATCGCAGTTTTTCGAGTTTTTTTCAAAAATTAGTTCGGTGACCCCAATTTTTTTTAATAAATCAGTTACGTTAGTGTCGAGAAACATTTCTGGGAAGTTTTAAAAAAATCTGTCGACTCAATTCTTTAGAATTAAATTTCGACTTTTTTGACAGTTTCTGTCGACAATTTTTTTTTATTTTTCCATCATGAAATCTTGAAGTATGTATCTACTCATGTACAAATTTTCAGGGTACCTTACCGAACTCGTTTTGGAAATAATCATGGTTTTATTTCGCGCGGCCAAAGTTTTTCACACTCTGCAAGATCAATTAATTGACATGCGCGTACATGTTTTCGCAGGCGCATCTCCAGAAAAACACGCACAAAAACGTTTTTATTATATAAACATAAGTGTTATATAGAGTTTTTGGCCACTGAGGAAAATCGTATTTAAACACAAAAAATACGATATTTTTACGTGTGAAAATATCATTTATTGTAAAACGCATTGCCACGGACGTTTTATTGTTTTTACTAACTCGTGTTGTAAAAGTTGTTTTTACTAACTCGTGTTGTAAGTTTACTAACTATTGTTTTTACTAACTCGTGTTGAACATGATATCTCACTCGTTCGCTGCGCTCACTCGTGAGATATCATGTTCAACACTCGAAATAAATCTGGTATTTCCGCGCGCCCATGCATTATTCTCTATTTAGTCTCGTCGAAATATTAAATATATAAATATGTTGTGTTTTCTTGCTTAGAAATGCAAATATAGTTAGTTTTGCATGCTAACTCAGGATAACGCCAAGAAAACGGTGATTGTCGGTCGTTTGGTATAAGATATGCGTGACATGTATGAACTTTTTGGCTTTTCTACATAGACATAGTTTTATATTCGTTTTCAGTCGTAACTTGTGTGTTTTCATGTTGTTATTGACAAGTTAAAACAGTTTGAGCCGGCGCATGATGCTGTTTCACTAAATTCCTTTGCTGTTAGTAACACTTTGAATACATTTACCAGTTGTAAGTACAAAAAAAACTCTGGATATGAACTTATAAATCGCCAAATATTGGAGAAAAAAACTTTTCGCCGGTCGGCGGTCGGGCCGATCGCCGGTTTTCACAAGAGTTTGAACGTTGAACATTGCATTTTCTACCTTAAAATGTCTTCTAAAAAGACTAGTTATTCAATGTTCAGAGCTAAATCAGGACGAAGTTTGTTCTTTGAGAACAAATGAGAACAAGGAAGACTCAAAATATCAAAATAAACATGACTTGTGGTTCGGATTTTAGACTGATTTAAAGTTGTATTTATTTTTGCATATATTTTTAACATTTTCGCGCGAAAATTCAAGATTAGGTACCAGTCCCCAAATGATGAAAAGTATATGGAGCCACCTTAAGCATGGAGAATGATTATATAAACACAAAAGCAATGAAGAGTCTAGTGCAAAGTAAAAGCACTAGAAAGTAAAATATCGCCATGTATATATAATCTAGTCTGCATGCTTAGAACAGCAAAATACATAACATACGCGCATACAACGCTATATAGCATTTCATTCCGTAACGAATAATTTTCTAAATGGGCTTATACAGAACTCTTCTGGATGGCTCAATCTCTGTATTAACTTAGCCGTCAAATTGACGGGTTAAAGACCTTAAAGTCATACTGTGGCAACCCCAGGGCACGTCCTTGCGTTGCCGTGCTCTATATACTTATCCCTGATTCATGTGTTTCAACGGAGGAGATTAGAGTCGATGGAAATTGCCGCATCACTCTTTCATCACTTTTCTTCAAATAACTTATTTAGAATAAATAAAAGTCATAGTGCAGACGAAGAACCTCCATACAACTTCAGGCATGTACTCGATTTTACGGAACAAGACGAGTTATTTAAGGTATGTTGATTGAAAATTACATAATACATACACTTAGTCTTAAGTCCGTTTTCCACTCACGTATTTCGCCGCCGTTGGCGAAATATTTTGACAAAGAAATCATTTTTTTACATTCATTCGCCGCTGAAGAAATTTGTTCTCCTGCTACAGTTGCTTAAATTTTCAACTTCTGTTTGACCTTTCGTTGACGGCGCGAAAGAACAACAAATGAACTTTTTCGGTGGCGAAATACGTGAGTGGAAAACGGGCTTTAGTGCACTGTGAACTATATTTCAAATATGGGATTTTCAAAATTAGTCCAGAAAGTATAAAGAAGTAGTGAAGTAAAGATTAGTGCATTGTATTCTCCGGGACGTTTTCAGAGCTTTCGATATTGTTTGAAATAGTCATAAATGTTTTGTTGATTTGAGTCCTGAACGAGAATCAGATTTTCCATATATATAAGAGGGGAAAACGGTCCGCTAGTGCCACAGAAGATCCAACATGAAAAATAAATGTAGGCGGCAATGCATAAACCGAAGCAGAAAACAAAATTAAACTATCCTTTTACATTATAGGAAACGATAAACAAACAGACAAATTCAAGAAGTAAAGATAATCCTGAAGCCACGCTTGATGCGCTTATGCAAGTTGCATCTTGTGAAAATGTAAGTTTTTGATTCCCATTCTTGTTAAAGTTTAGTCCACTGTATTGTTTTTTCCCCCCGCTATCCATATTATATTAATCTATACTGCTTAATTTTATTCATTCCTAGGAGCTTGGGTGGAATCCATCCAACACAACGCGTCGAATTGTGTTGATAGCAACTGACGCTCCTTTTCATATAGCTGGTGAAGGAAGGGTAATTCTAGTTATATTACTTCGCACAAATAATCATTTAATTGAAGGTCAGGGAGACAGGGACTACGTCTTCACCATATAGTTCAATCCCATTGTCTTTGACATGTTGCACAACATCTTTCTTCACTGTATTTACACATCCAATTTCTTACCACGAATTTTACGTAAATATAGTCGCTCGACTCTTATAAGGCGCCCCAATTGTTATTCGTATTCTTTCCAATAAAATATAATTACTGTACTTACAGAATGTTGATGAAATTTTCATTCATGTTTATATAGTTTGGCGGAATTGTCCATCCTAATGATGCCAAATGTCATCTCTCAGAACGAAGAAATGGCTCAAGGGAATATTCTGGCTTAGAACAGGTTTGCATGCATATTGATTTCAAAATATAAGCTTTCCTTTCAACGGTCATTGTAAACAACTTTATATGCTTAAATAATAATTAATATTTAGGATTACCCAACGGTGAACCAGGTTTATCAAAAGTTACGTGAATCCAGAATTCAACCAATATTTGCCGTTTCACATTATGAAAGAAAAACTTTCAAGGTATAGTCACAGAATTGGTTTCGTGTATTTGAAACAGTAGGTTGTCAGCGTTGTCGACATCTAGCCCTGCACTAACTTTCATAACTTGAACTTTCGATAGGAGTTAGCCAACATCTGGAAAGACCTGGGAGCAACTTACGAAGAATTAAACGAAGATTCAAATAACATTATCGAACTTATTGAAAAGAGCTATAAGGTATTGTGTATAAAGGAACTTTTCTCTCTTCTTGTTTTTCTCAAATCTTAGCTTCTCAAGTCTTGAGCCTCAAATATTAACTTCGTTCGACACTTAACATGTTAATTTCGTTCGACACTTAAGGTCATTTTAAAGGCCCGTTTACACGGGCGATTTTTGCTGCGATTTTCTCCTTTTGGAGGATGTGAAAGAGTAGATTACTTAATGATGTTGTCATGAGATTTCATAACCTGGAACATTTATAACTGATCTACTCCTTCACATCCTCCAAAAGGAGAAAATCGCAACTGAAATCGCAGCAAAAATCGCCCGTGTAAATGGGCCTTAAGGTGGCTCGATATAGTTATCACAAAAACCCTGCTCAAGAATCGCGAACTCAAAAGCGGATGACCATTTTTACGCGCAGGTCGCGGAAACTGATTAACAAAATGAAAGAACTTCCAAAATGACCTGACGTGAGCAGTTGCTCGCGCCATATCACGCCATTGCGCGTGGTCTATAGCGTTGTATGTCAATTGCTGACGTCATTAGAATTTTCCATTTTAGAAAAACAATGCGCTATATCTCTTTATTTTGTCTGGTGACCTATGTTCAAATTTTGCATGCTGCATTGCACCGCTAAAAACTTTCATTATACAAAAAAATAAAAAATTCTGTAATGCCAAAAAAATTTTACCGACGAATATGACATTTTCGCATTTTCCAAAAAAATGGCATTACAGAATTTTTTTATATTTTGTTAGCTTTTCGACCAAGTAAAATAATGCACAAAAAAAAATTGGGGTCACCATGCTTCTTTTCCAGCTATACGAGACGATTGGCCATTTTGGAGTGAATTTCGTACACGTATGTCGTCATAGCAACGAACTCTCTGTTACTAAAACTAATAAAATTTGAAAGTAGAGATGTCAAAATATGTAAAAACCCCAATATCTGCTGAATAAATCCTAAAAATGCGTAGTTTGAACATGTCAAAGTGTTGAACACCTGAATTTTTCAAAACTGTATCGAGCCACCTTAAGGCCCCTTTACACTTGCAATTTTAGGTGCTAGTTTCTTCTTCTGATGGATGTGAACGAGCGGATGAGCTACGAATGTTCAGAAGATTCATGACTCATCCACTCGTTCACATACACCAGAAGAAAATATCGCACTAGAAATCGCAGCAAAAATTGCAAGTGTAAATGGGCCTTTACACAAGGCAATTTTTGCTGCAACTTGCAATGCAATTTCGGATACAAAGCCATGTTATACCTCAAATGCATGTACCTGCAGAGCGGAAATTCTTGACATAGCTCGCAATGCACTCTACCGATACCTTCATTTCATTACACACCCTTAAGTGACAAAAATGGAATAAATGGGATAAAAAATGTCAGCAGAGTAAATCGTGAGCCATGTACACAACCTTCCTGTGACTACTTTTTAGGTGTCATGGCTCTATGTCAGAAATTATGTTGCTTGCAAGTTTCAGCAAAATTTGCCACGTGTAACACGACTTTCGTGTCGATTGGATTTTTGCTACAGACCGGTTCGTGTTCTTCGGTCCTTGTTCCCCGCAGTATAGAATTAATAGCGACCTTAAAGGGTATTGGCAACAAAAATTTTTATTGATTTTATTGCTTCATCTGAAGGAGCATGAAAAAATAAGCCGATTGGCCGTTTACTGCTCTATTCTATCTCATGTGGTTCCGAAGTTATACGCAAAAATGTGCAAAATATAAATTGCTGATTCAGCACATTCTGTGACGTCATAAGCTGGGTAAGTATGTTTATTGAATAGTAAACTAAAGCATAGCTGAGTTATTATTGGCTCAAATCAAATGAAATTTT